TTGGGGAAGGAGGGACTGGAGGCCCCACACCCTGGTCCAGGCCCCACGCACCTGCCATGAGGAGGGCAGCCACGCACTCGGGGCGGTTCCGCATGGCAGCCTTCATCAGCGCCGTGAGCCCCCGCTGGTCGCGGCGTTCCAGGTCCAGGCCCGCGTAGTAGTTGAGCAGGAGACCCACCAGAGCCACGTGGCCTGCGGGGCGCCGAGGGCAGAGTTTGGCTCCCCAGGAAAGGCGGCGATAAGCTCTGAGCCCACCCTCCCCCCGACAAGACCGAGCCTGCTGGGCCAGGCCTGTGGGGCTGAGGCTCTGTCTGCACCGGAGGGCTGGGGGCGGGGCGGTCGGCAGCCTCCCACCTGCTTGGGCAGCCAGCATGAGGGCTGTGTCCCCTCCTTTGTCCTGCTGGTTGACATCGAGGAAAGGACAGCGGCTAAGCAGGGCCACAACACTCCGGAAGCCGTGGTAGCATGCCACCATGAGGCCTGTCTGAGAGTGGTGCAGCTCAGCTCCCTGTTTTCCTCCACGACCTCCCGGGAAGACCCCTGTGCTCTCTAAACCCACGCCTGTCCCAGAGCCTGTCCCAGCTCCTGTGAAGACCGCCCCTTGATCACTCTCCTCCGCCTAAGGACCGGCAGTGGGGATTGACCCTGAAACTCTCTCAGCGAGTCAGGCCAGGCTGGTGGTGGGATACAGAGCTGTTCCCCGCCCCCCACCCTCCTGCTGTCCTGGAAAGCACCCAGGGCATCTCACCCTCCCGTTGCCGTCCACCTGGGTGGTCTCCTCTGGGGAGACCCCGCCATCCAATATGGCTTGGAGCTGGGTGGGGTCGTTGTGGACACAGGCCCAGTACAGGGGTCCCAGCCGGCAGCCTGGGGCAGCTGCCTCGTCACTGGGGGCAGACAGCGCCTCAGACATGTCCAGCCTTCTCCGGTGCGGTGGCAACTCTTCTTCTTCCAGTCTGGGCACGAGAAGGCAAGTCTCTCCTCCTCATGCAGCTGGCATCTATCAGAGTGGAGAGAAGCAATGTCTCCCAGGATCTTGGGAGGGGTCTCACAGCTGCAAGTTGCCCAGCCCTGGCCCCAGGGGAAGCCTTTATCTCGGCAGGTGTCCGCCCCGTCCACCATGACAGAGGACAGCGGTGGTGGACTAGGAGCACTAAGCGGGCTGGGCCCACTCTAGGTCAGGACCTCCGTGAGAGTCACGGAGAGGGTCGTCTCTTTTCCTTTCCCACATGACTTTACCCGGTCAGAAGGTCTCTGGGACGGTCTCTCGGTCCCCGAGAGCCCCTGCACACACTCACCCGGTCTCTGGAGTAACCCGAGGGGGACTGTCCCTCTCCAGGAAGCCACGCAGGTAACAGATGGCTGGACTTTCAGAAAGCGCAGCTGCAAACACCTCGGGGCTGAGCTGGATCAAGCCGGGTTAGGAAGGGATTGGGGGGCCCAGAGGGGCGGGTGCTGTTGTCTCCGGAGGCGACCAAGACCCGCCCCAAGCAACGGCCTAGTGGGCGGGGCCTGAGTCAGGCTGCTCAGCCCCGGTTCTGACCTTCAGCCTTCTGGGGAAACCATTGAAGATGGAGGGCTTAGGGGGTCCCAGAGCCCAGCTCCGGGAGCCTAAAGCCCCCTTCCCCTTTGGTGGGGCAGGGCTGGGTGAGGGGGTGGTGGAGGGAGAGGGCGTGAGTGCAGATATCTCGCTAAATAGGATGGGACTCTCAGAGCGACCGTGGGGTGGGGGTCTCCAGGGGTCACCCGGACCTATTTTTTGAGGTTCTGGGGAAATCGAAACGTAAAGAATTGTCAGATTGTGAGTACAGAAACGATATGCCTCCTTGCCGGTGGGCGGCCAGGACACAGAGTGGCAGGCAGTGATGAGAAAACAAACGGCCTGAAATTATGATATATCAAATTTAATAGATTAGCCTTAGCGTGAGAAATGAAGTAGGGAATGTTTACATTAAATTATTTATTAATTTAATATTAATTGTATTAAATTATTCTTTTTTTTTTGAGTTGGAGTCTCACTCTGACGCCCAGGCTGGAGTGCAGTGGCCGCTCCCGGCCACCGCAGCCTCGCTCTGCTGGGCTCTGGCGATCCTTCCACCTCAGCCTTCCAAATAGTGGGAACTACAGGAGGGCGCTACCACACCCGACTAATTTTTTTATCTATTTATGGTAGAGATGAGGTCTTGCCAAGTTGCCCGGGCAGGTCTCGAACCCATGGACTCAGGCAACCTACTCACCTTGGCCTTCCAGAGTGCTGGGATTACAGGCTGAGGCACCGAACCCGGCTAAATTATTCTTTTTTTTTTTTTGAGTTGGAGTCTCACTCTGTCACCCAGACTGGAGTGCAGTGGCCGCTCCCGGCCACCGCAGCCTCGACCTGCTGGGCTCCGGCGACCCTTCCGCCTCAGCCTTCCAAGTAGCTGGAACTACAGGTGTGTGCTACCACGCCTGGCTGATTTTTGATTTATTGTAGAGGTGAGGTCTCGCCAAGTTGCCCAGGCGGGTCTTGAACCCGCGGGCTCAGGCAATCCACTCACCTCAGCCTCCCAAGGTGCGGGATTACAGGCTGAGCCACCGAGCCCGGCTGCTAAATGATTCTTTAAGTTAATATGAAATACGATATTTAATAAATTGGTTCTGACCTCAGATGTAGAAAACTGAACCAATCATATTCCTGCATTTGTACCACTCTCACCGTCAGACTGTATAAGACCTCTCTCTTGTTTTACTTTATTTAATTTGTCTCTTTTGCCCTTCATCACCCCATCCCATACTCCTCCTCCTTTTACCAACAGGCACTTAGATATCCTTGAAAGTGTACATTTCATTGGAAAAGGTAGTGTTGATTTGTGTTATGCGTTTTTTGTTTGTTTGTTTGTTTTTGCGTGGAGTCTCACTCTGTCACCAGACTGGAGTGCAGTGGCCGCTCCCGGCCACCGCAGCCTCGACCTGCTGGGCTCCGGCGATCCTTCCGCCTCAGTCTTCCAAGCAGCCGGAACTACAGGTGCGCACTACCATGCCCAGCTCATTTTTGATTTATTGTAGAGATGAGGTCTCGCCAAGTTGCCCAGGTGGGTCTCGAACCCGTGGGCTCAGGCAGTCCACTCACCTCAGCCTCCCAAAGGCGCGGGATTACAGGCTGAGCCACCGAACCCGGCTTGTGTTATGTGTTTTTAATTAATATGCCATGAATTGGGCCACAGAACTAATTCTGTCTGTTCTTTTCACCCAGTACTGTGTTTCAAGATTCACACTGGCCAGGTGTGGTGGCTCACGTCTATAATCCCAGCACTTTGGGTGGCCAACGTGAGAGGATTGCCTGAGCTTACCGATTCGAGACCAGCCTGGGCAACTTGGCAAGACCTCATCTCTAAACAAATCAAAAAATTAGCCAGGCATGGTGGTGCGTGCCTAAGTTCCAGCTACTTGGAAGGCTGAGGCGGAAGGATCACCTGAGCCCAGCAGGTGGAGGCTGCGGGGGCTGTGAGCGTGCCACCACACTCCAGTCTGGGCGACAGAGTGAGATTCCAACTCAAAAAAAAAAAAGAAAAGAAAAGAAAGAGATCTACCCTCATTGCTGTATGTGCAGTGATCCATTTGGGAGTGCATTTGGCTGGAAGTAACCAACAGCTGACCTCAGCGGTGTGCTGTCTATTATAGACTGTCTGCTCGATTTCAGTCCAAAATTCCTTTAGTGTTTCTTCTGAACTGCAGAAGCTGGAGAGCTGAAATAACACTTTCCAACTTCCCAGACCCCCTTGAGCTAGGAATCTGTGGTTTAGTTTCTGCTCTTGCGCAAGACATAAATTTGGAACAGAGCTACGTAGCATGGGACATCCGTTTTGCTGTCACAGGTCATGACAGCAGCACCAGGGCTCTGGCAAGCCGCTTCCTGATTCTGTAGTAGTGACTGTTGTTTTCTCAATCTCAGGCAGAGCTCATGTGACTCTCAGAGGACGCTGTTCCTGGACCCAGTGCTTTCTTCTGCATCCCTTTCAGTCTAAACTAACCTGATTTATTTCTGTTGTCTGCAGTTGAACTCTGATACTCCTGGCTGCAACAAATAGGGGCTTGTTTCTCACACATGATAGTGTGTGAGTGCAGGAATTGGAAGCTATTGGTAGCCGGGCTCCGTGGCTCAGCCTGTAACCCCGCGCTTTGGGAGCCTGAGGTGAGTGGATTGCCTGAGCCCACGGGTTCGAGACCCGCCTGGGCAACTTGGCGAGACCTCATCTCTACAATAAATCAAAAAATTAGCCGGGCATGGTAGAGCATGCCTGTAGTTCTGGTTCCTTGGAAGGCTGAGGCAGAAGGATCGCTGGAGCCCAGCAGGTCGAGGCTGCGGTGGCCAGAAGCGGCCACTGCACTTCAGTCTGGGCGACAGAGTGAGACTCCAACTCAAAAAAAAAAAAAAAAAAAGAAGCTATTGGTGTTGGTTAAGCAGCTTGTTGGTGTCAAGGCCTTTTTCTCTGGGGTTCTCTTGACTTTTCCTCCTGGTCACAAGATGACTGTTCTACCTCTGGCCATTGCAGAAATAAGTGGCTAGATGCACACTATAGAATTCTGTGAGACTGGGCTCAGTGGCTCAGCCTGTAATCCCAGTACTTTGGGAGGCTGAGGCGAGTGGATTGCCTGAGTTTGTGGATTCGAGACCAGCGCAGGCAACTTGGCAAGACCTCGTCTCTACAATAAATCAAAAAATTAGCCGAGCGTGGTAGTGCACACCTGTAGTTCCGGCTACTTGGAAGGCTGAGGCGGGAGGATCGCCGGAGCCCAGCAAATTGATGCTGGGGTGGCTGTGAGTGTGCCACTGCACTCCAGCCTAGGCGATGGAGTGAGATTCCAACTCAAAAAAACAAAAAAAGCTATGAAGCAGCTAGAAGAAATCTACCAGATACTAAGCCAGACATCTCTGACTAGTTGACACAGTCCATACTCATAACCCCCCTTCTTTCTAGTCACCTTTTATTTTATTTTATTTATTAATTTAAATTTTTAAAATTATTTATTTATTTATTTATTTATTTGAGTTGGAGTCTCACTCTGTTGCCCAGACTGGAGTGCAGTGGCTGCTCCCTTGCTCCCTGCCACCGCAGCCTCAACCTGCTGGGCTCCGGTGATCCTTCCGCCTCAGTCTTCCAAGTAGCT